TTGTTGTTGTTGTTGTGTACATTAAGAAGACAAGCAGACAAAAGTTGAACATTATGACGAACGTTGTATATAAAGGCTGCATATTCCGAACCCTGGGTAAAAACAAAGTAATTATTTAGTGTAAAGTGACAAATAGGACTTTCTTATATGACAAAGTAGTTTTTAAAAAATTTCAAACATTACAATTCTTTTTCTATACTATTTCAACAACACTACAATGGGATTATCCCAAGGCACACCGAACTACACACTAGGCACCACAAGCAGATAGTTACTTGATTGAAGTACAAGAAATATAAGTTTCATTTACTCTTTGAGGTTTTGATATGCAATTTTCCAGTAAAAGAGGTTAAAAGAAACTTTAAACCTACCCTCTGTTTTGTCATAAAAATATCATAACTCTTGTCACAAAAATCAATGCATAAATATAAATCAATCACACACACACACAAACTGCTCCAAGGTGTACATTCTGTGGATCTGTGGGGTATAGGTTGGAGTCTTGCGATAAAGTGAGGAAAAATGAAGGTGTTCAGTGTGGTTTCTGCAGTGTGGAAAGCCATTTCATGAAGTCTTGCTGGGAATTCAAGGAGAAGTAGCTTTAAGGACTGGCAAGCAGGATTCAGCCAGGAAAAGTAGGGCATCCACTGGGGCTCCAGGGGATGGTCTATGTTATCGCTGGAGGCCTGGCCATTTTAAGAAGGAATGTCCCTCATTAGCCCAGTGCTGATAGGTAAAAATGTTTGGCAAGTGGACGTAATAACGGGATTGTTGGCGCGCATTGGCAGTTTCCCGTTTGCACCCAACTCGATCAGTTGTTTGTGAGCGACATTTGGCACGTAAAAGCTTTTATTTTGCTTTAATTCATAATAATATCATAATTTTGAAGGTTTAACTTCATTATAGGTGCCTATAATGTAGTCACTTTTTCAGAGTGACTACATCAGTGTTTCGGTGAACAGAAGTGACATACAGAGAGGATTTGCTGAAGTATTACAGTTTCATGTTTATATATCTGTCAGTAAAGCAGAGTAACTTAACTAATGGTGTTTATGTCATTCCTTATGATAATCAAGTAAATGGATATCACTCTCACTCACAGTCTCTCTCATACTCCCTCACTCTCACCTGGAACATTTTTCCCGCTGGTTCCTCTGACACCTGCCATCGCCACTCTCCCTTAGGGCCTCCCCATTCACGCACACGACGCAAGCTGCTTTGGTTCAGTTCCGAGCAGATCTGCAGAAAATAATGAAGATAGTGAAAAGGATGGTAATAACAATAACAACAGTAACATAATACTGACAAGAAAAAAGAACATAACAAAAAATATTAGAAATTAAGAGAAAAAATAACTGATGATGATGATGAGACAATAATAAAACATTACTAATAACAATAATGATATTAATAATAATTAGAAGAATACTAATAATCACACCAATAACATCAACAAAAATAAGAATTTTAACAGTAATAACAATATTAACAATTACCATTAGTAACAACAACAAAAACTAATAAATAGGAAATATAAATATTTCTAAAAATAACTAAAATAAACATCAAATCTAAGAACACAACATAACAACAGAAACCAGAATGACGAGCCAAAGCTACCCACTCACTTTCTCTAAAACGTCTTTGCTTCCCACTTCCTGGATAGCCAAGATACTAAACCCATTCTCTAACACTGTGCGACAGATCACTTCCAGCACCCCAGGATTGGACATCTGGTCACGAAAAGAAAAAGAGAGAGAAGGGAACAAGTTATTAGATGTTACTTGTCTCTCTTCTTGTTTTGCATGTTATAAAACTTGAGAAATTAAGAATAGCTTTAACAGGAAATAACTCTGATGATTTGTAATGCAGGTTTAACATATTTCATGTCATTCCTAGACTAGTTGCAAAAATCTTAAACTTATTAAATGATCCCAATTTTTAACATTATGCAAAAGAACAAATTCTGTGTGAATGAATGCAAAGCAGTAATATATATAAACTAATCAATTCCTTTGTTATGGAAGAAATGAATTGAATAATTCTTTGGAAGGATTACAAACCTTTTCTTTCGTCAACTCCTGGAGGTTCCATGTGGCAATTCTAATCGCTGGACGTCCATTATGCTGTCCTTGGAATACGTCTCTTACAATGGGCCGCTCAGACCTTCAGAAAATGCAAGGCATACTGTCAAAACTAGTGAAAATATCACTGTCCTCAAAGGCAACATCAATTCATATTCTATCATTTATATACAGAACTAAACAGCTTCTTACTCACCTAATCAATACAATTTGCACATAAAGAAAATGTAAATGGTATCTAAAATAATATGTAATTCATGCTACATAGGAGTATATACACATTTTTAAACTTAGAGACCAACTAGAACTCACATACACTTAGACATTCCTCAAAAAGGACCCCAGTAATATGCTTAAATGTGTTCATCAGCCAGCTTGGAGGTATTGTGAGTGTGCTCAATACAGAATTGGAATAATTTTGTTACATTCTGTGCCAGCATTTCCTGTACTATGAGTATTCATTGTTATATTTATGATAAACAATACAGAGGAAATTAAATGTACAGTAATAAACTAGTCTACTAAAAAACAAGAGTTCCCTTTATGCAGACACTGTTAGGGGGTGGAAATCATGCATGGCTTGGCCCAACGAGTCACAATCTACATTTAAATACTAATAAATCTCTCCCTTGTGGAACCCTGCCCTCTTGGAATAGATTTAACAAAACTACACATTCATCTTCACTTACTTATCTCTGTCACCTTAAAATGGTAAACAATATACCTGTCAAGTTATTCCCTTGAAAATGAAACTAGCCACAATGAGAATTGAAAATAAGCGTAACGTTTCCAACTCTTCACGAGTTCCTCTTCAGACAAAAACCGAAATGATTCCATTTCAGTTTTTGTCTGAAGAGGAACTCGTGAAGAGTTCAAAACTTTACGCCTATTTTCAATTCTCATTGTGGCTAGTTTCATTTTCATTTGTGTGTACACATTGTGTTTGTGCTTGTGTTTATTCCTTTGACTTACAAATCACTGACATTCTACACTAACAACACTCATCACCAGATTTCAATTAACTTTCTCCCTTTCAACAACTTACTTCACTGAAAGGAGTTCAAAAATCTCTGTGTAGAAGTCCACTGACATCCTTGGATCACCACTTTGCAAACTGCTGGAAATTCTCCCTGTTGTGTCCTCACTGTCTAGTGGTGCAGAATGGGTTCTGCGATGACCTGAATTATAAGAAATTTTGTAGAATTATTCAAAGTCCCATGGTGATTTTTTAATTTTCTATAATGGTCATTAGCCTTTACAACAAAAGTATATAAGGTTGTTATATTTGTATTTATGTGCTCTTGTGAGCAGTTTGGTATCTGCTTGTATTTAACATGTATACTTACATGTGATTGTGCTACTCTGTATACTTGCATCCATGTCACTTTTTGTGTCATTGTCTACATATTTTTTATAAATATACAGGTAAATGTAAAACTTGAATCAAATGAATAATGTGTTTTAGTAAAACCAATATGTTAAAAGCCATTTAATTTGCCCTATGAACCCTCTACTGCCTGGCACATTCTTCCAAAAGCACTTTGAAATAATTTACGCAAACTATAAGACTATGGTGAGAGAAATATTATTGTATGTCAGACAATAACCCTGGCGAGCAGTTGCACAGTTGCACCAAACTCTCCCAGTGCAAGATGCAGTAAGCAAGTCTCTGCTCTGTTATGAAAGGGTTAATACACATTATATTCATATTTTCTATGATAGCTACAATTTTTCACATTTGAGGTAAAAGTATATACGTTTAGGTTGAGACCTAATCACTAGTGCACATGCACTAATTTTGTTGCTTTACAATATCCTTGGAAAATTGGCCATTCTTGCAAAATGAGGTAAAATGAAGGAAAAAAATAAATCTAGATGCCATACCACATCAGAATTCAATTATAATTAGTGTTGTGCCAGCAAAAAATGGGAGGAGCCATAAGGCACTGTTTACATAAACACCAAGTGGGAAAAGCAGGCAAAATCTTCTTTGGTTCCATATCACATCCTGCAGTTAACAAATCCATCCCTATAGGCAGTAGAGTTCAATACTAAAGAAAAGGTTAACATACACTACTTATTTCACTTGAAACTTACGAGTATGTCCCACTGTGTTGCTTTCAAATGAAAGTTTGCCTAACAGGTTATACACAAACATGATATTCTGTGACAAATAAAATGATTATCAAAAATATTTCTCAACATGTGTATGTGTATACAGCGGCATATACCCATTTACATACTTGTATGTATCTAAATGTTTATAGTATATGTATAAAAAATACAATTACATACTCAACTTGCTTATTCCTTTGTTTGTTCAGTTATTTTCTTTTTTTGTTCATTTAGTATTTTGTGTGATTAGGTTTAGACAACAAACAGACACATTAAAAAAAAAAATCAAAGAATTTCAAGCAGGTGGATGAGGTGGGCAGTGACCTTTCATGTGACACTAGGAACTATGAACAAAGTACTAATAGTGAGGGCAAGTTTGATGGTGTCTTATAAATAATAACAAATAGTGTAAATACAGTGTAAATACCCAAGCCTACTTGAAGTATTGGACTACAGTATCAGGGTAATGGGTAAGGATTAAAAAAAGGATTTGCTTTCACATGAGCCATCTGAGTCTTGCCAAATGGATAGCATCATATCTGTTTCACTTCATTAAATATAAATCAAGAAATCAATATAATACCTATCATATAAAAAATTGTCTAAATGTAAATCATGTCCTTTGTATCTCAAGAAAGTCCAGAAAGGGTTGTGATTAAGAAGAAAAATATTGTCAAATACATTTCCAACTGGTTAACAATTTTGTTGTAATAGTATATGTAAAAAGTTAAGGATTGATGATTTCTTGGACAATGTGTAGTATTTCAGATCTACAGTTTACACCACAAGAATAAATACTTTTCAGATAAAATATCAATATACATTTTATGTACAACAGTTCCCGAAGAAAAGTTAATAAGTTTAGCCCACTTTATATAAAACTGAACAAAAAAAATAACTGAATAAAACAAATGTATATAAAAAATCACCTAAACCAAAGCAAAGTGTCTTCCCTGTACACTATTTATGCTTTTTAATCAGTATATCTTCATCCATTAATTTTCGTCAATAGAATAGCAAGCAAACAAAATATACAAAGACCTAACAGTACTCAAATCCCATTTACTAATACTGTATAATACTTTCTCAAAAGCTGAATCAAAAGCATTTTGCATACTTGTAGATCAGTGTGAAGTACAACAATACTAGTGTATACTGTTGGAAATAATAAACGTTCATCACTACACGTGTACTACATTACAGGTGTATCATAAAAACAAGCAAAATAATGCCTTTGGTGTGTGCTTGATGTGCACTGTTATCCAAAGCAGCAATAATGTGTTAACTCCTCTTGTCCCACATAACTTCTATGTTACACAAATCCATGAATAACAAAGTGCAGAATAATAAAGCAAATGTAAGGGAACAATGTGCATTTTTACTTCCAATGGTCTTCACATTTATTAACTTACTTCTATAATCTCTAATGTCAAGAAGGTACGGCACCCTTCTAAACACAATATGACAGGGCGATGCGTGCCCTGAAAGACAGCTTTCGATGGATCACAAATGTAGCAATGACGAAGGTATTCTACATGCTTGGATTATTTCCTTTCACTTTCATTTCACATGTTGAATACATTCTAAGACTTCTAAATTGACAAAGAATCAATCATATGGCAATAGTTTGAAAAATTATTACTCTCATGAACACATTCATAATCTGAAAAAATTGAACATTTCTCAACCCCAAAGATACAGTTCAAATTCTACGATCAAAATTCTGAGATACAGTTGCATTTATGATTATATAATTTTCTTTACTCCTTTACTAGGGTTTCATTTTCCTTAATGGAAAGTGAAAAAATTATCATAACTTTTCTATATGCATATATTCATAAATATGTATACATATACATATACATATACATATATATACATATACATATACATATATATACATATACATATATATGGATATAGATATAGATATAATATATTCTACTACTACTGGAACAGGAGAGATGCAAAAATATCTACAAACATTCAAAAGTGATTCCCTTAGTTTATATCTTCTCAAAACAATTCTGCATTGTTCTTCTTCTACCAAACCAAACCACAAGACAAAAACATACATAAAAATCTAAAAATCTAAAAGCCCAAAACAAATCCTCCTCCCCTAAAAAATAAAATAAATAAAAAAAACAAAGAGTAATGAAATCACGGCAGTCCAGCCTCACCTGACAACTTCCCATCGAGGTTCCGTTGGTAGACCTTGCTGTAGCTCGCTACGGAAGTGACATCGCTCAAGGGTGGCGAGGAAGGCGTTAGATCGTTAAGAGTCAAATAGACCTTGAGGATGCTCAGGACCCGGCTGTTGATTCCTCTCACCTTCACCAAGTCGTCGATACTTTTGAATGGACCTTTCCTCTCTCTAGGGGTTGGAGACGGTAGGGGTTAGCATGCTTGGTTTCTAAGGATAAATCATTACTACTGCTAAAGAGAAGGAAAGAAAGAAAGAAAGAAAGAAAGAAAAAAAAAAAAAAAAAGAAAAAAGTATAAACTACATAAATTGTCAACTGGAATAAATGAAAATGCTTTCATTGCATTGTCATTTCTCGCCTGTGTCATTTATTCTCATTCACACTTTTTCTATTTTTTATTTGTTGCAATGAATTCTGCTCTTTAATGTTAGTACTATTAATATCAGCATTAGTATCATCATTATCATCATCATCATAACAATCATAATCATAATAAAATAATAATAACAATAATAACAACAATAATACAATACCTATATTGAAAGAAAGAAAGGAAAAGAAAGAAAAAAAAAAAAAAGAAAGAAAGGAAAGAAAAAAGAAAGAAAAAAAGAAAAAAGAAAAAGAAAGAGAGAAAGAAAGAAAGAAAAATAAAGAAGAAAGAAAGAAAAAGAAAGAGAAAAATCATAACAAAATGGAAGACGTAAATATAGACCTCACCTGTGTTCAACAATATTGGCTGCCATTTCTTGATTCATCCCATGCACGTTCATGAGTTCAAAGATAGATGCCGCATTAACATTTATGACTCTCACTGGTGAACCACGTATACTGCGGCCTCCTTGTGACTGGGATTGTGATCTCTGTGACCGGATTGACTCGCAACTCAGTGAATCTACACTCTGAGTTCGGGAAGAGGAACGACTGGAAGGAAGAAAATGTGATCTTAAAGTAATAATAGATTTTAACCCTTCTCGTCCTATTCACCAGGATTGGTACTTTCCGTGGTGTTTGAGCTCTACAATTTGTCACAACAAACTTTGCTCTATATTGCTGCTCTTTGTATTTGATATATGACAATAAGAGATACATTTTCCATGTGCAAAACAGAGCACTTGAAATGCTGCCAGTAATAGTTTGCTATGGAGCAAGATGAAAAATCAAGACCAAAACAGATAAGCAAGAGGACTTGTTATTTTGGGCTAAGATTGTATGTCAACAAGCAGAGAAATTGTAAAAGCTATAAAACAGACAGGAAAACTAGGTTATTGTAAAATAAACAAACAAGTAAAATCACACACAACATACACACACACAAACAAACACAAACACAAACACACACACACACACACACACGCACACACACGCACACACACACGCACACACACACACGCACACATACACACACATGCAACACACGCACGCACACATACATGCACGCACACACACACACACACACACACAAATCTTACCTGGAAGATTTCTTTTTGACCGTGATTTCATTTTTAAAATTCTGCAACTTGTTGGCGCCAATGCCTGACACTAGCGCCAGATCTTCGACTCTCCGGAAGCCCCCAATCGTATTGCGGTAATCGACAATATTTTTAGCCACTGACCTCGACACTCCAGGAAGAGTCATGAGCTCTTCCTCTGGGGCAGTATTGATGTTCACCAAATTAATCTTTAGGTGAGAAGTGGAGAGAAAACATTACTCAATAAAATGATGTGGAAGAAATACTGACAGTTGGAGAAAGGAGGGCTATTGCAAATAATTTCTTTTCTAAAATTTCATTTATATGCTAGCATGATATCTTGATTATGTAATATGTAATTAAAGGATACAATGGCATATCAATGCAGTCTGATACCCTTTCCTTATTTCAACCAAATCTATATCTAATAAAGAGGGAAAATCATAACAGTATCTCATTAGAGGGACATAAAGAAATGAATGAGCAAACAACAGAAAAAGAAAATATACATATATCCATATAAAAAGTGGAAATTCCTCATTTAAAAGTATCTCATTAGAGGGACATAAAGAAATGAATGAGCAAACAACAGAAAAAGAAAATATACATATATCCATATAAACACACACATAAAGATAGAGGTACGGTTATCTTTTGAACATTAGATTTCCCACCTCGGGACGGATCAACTCACCTTTGCATCATAGTCCAAGAGATTGAAAGCTGCCGACAAGTCCCTGGCCTTCCGCCCTCTGCCGAATTTTGAGCTGACCCACGATGTTGTTGAAGATCGACGCCGCAGGAACTTCCGGTTGGACGTTTTCTCAGAGATGTTCTCCGCTAGCGACAAACGACGTTCAGTAACTGCAATAAAATATGGATAGGTGACACTTCATATATGCTGCAACCAACTGTGAACCTCACATATGAAAATTAAATATACCTATGGCATTTATGGGGATTTTCGTAAAAAAAAAGATAAAGTTCCTTACCTATTTCTCCATCAACACCATCTTGGTTGGCCGGAGGGAGCTCCCCACTTGTGCACTGGCCCATTCTTGAGGCTGGAGGGTTTTCTTGTCACTACAGCACAAACTGGGGAAGAAAGTCCGGTAACAAGGATTGATTACTGCAGTCATTATTCTTATCTTATATATATATATATATATATATATATATATATATATATATATATATATATATATATATATATATATATATATATATAACATATATATATTTATACCATTTTTTCCCAATTTTGTAAATACTACTGGAAAGCTTACAAAAATACACAAAAAACAACATTAGAGATTCATTAATTTTGCTCCTTTCTTCCCATATATATGAAAATGGGAAAGCATAAAGAAACTTTTTAGTTATGGAAATATCAGAAAAAAAAAACTAATAAATAAAAAAAAATTGACGACATAAATGTGAGACATATATGGATTCTTTTTTTCTAGTATCTAGGGATAATCAATTCAGTTTCTGTCATCTTTTTCGATTCCGTTTTTCCTGAATGAAGTCACTACCTCTGGGACACGAACCCTTTATGGAAAGATTCATACCTATTGACATGTGAGAGATAATCATATATAGGTACTGCAAGTGAGATGATACTCAGTTTAATTTGACTTCATTATTTTCATTTTACTTCATGGCCCTTCACAAAGTACCCTAAGGTCTCCAGGTTGGTAACCCCCTCCTTGAAGAGTATTCAAAAAAAATCTCACAGACCTGATTCATGTCTATGTCTGAGCGTCACAAGAGCAGATCCTGGTCGTACTTGCAGTCAGAGCTAAGGTCTACGTGCTGGCTCGCCACAACAATCATCTTCCCATTCTTAGTTGTTCGCAGAATCTACCTGGAAAAGGAGGAAATGTGATCATTATCATTATCATTACTACCACTATTATCATTATCATTATTATTATCATTGTCATTATTATTATCATCATCATCATTATTATCATAATTATCATTGTTATTATTATCACCATTATCATTATTATCATTATTCACCATTATTATTATTATTATTATCAACATTATTACTATTATTATCATTATCATTATTATTGTTATTATCATGATCATTATCATTATTATCATTAACATCATGATCATAATTATTAGGATCATTATCAAATCATTATTATTATCATTATCATTACTATTGTTATTATCATGATCATTCTCATTATTATCATCACTATCATGACTATTATTAGTCTACTTTTTTTCTTAGACTATTCAAAATTCTCTTATGACAGATTGCCATAAAGCTAGTTTTTAAGATGTGAATACAGGATACACAGATAGACAGATGTAAAATGGATTAACTACCACTGGGAAAGCTTACAAGAATATATCAAAAAACGCAACATTAGGGCTGAATTCCATGTTATTTTGCTGCCTTTCGTACTCGCATATTTATGTGAAAATTTGGGAAAAGCGATTGTAAGAGAACTTTTTTAGTTATGTCGAATATATCGAGAAAAATCTAAATGAATAAAAAAACATTGGACGACATAAATGTGAGGACATATGACGGATTCTTTTTGTTCTAAGGTATCGTAGGGATAATACGAATTCAGTTTTCTGTCCATCTTTTTGGAATTTCGTTTTTCTGATGTAAAGTCAAGAACCCTTTTATGGGGAAATATTCATACGCTATTGATATGTGATGAGATAATTTATATGTAGGTATCTTGCAAGGTGAGATGATACTCGTTTTAATTGACTATCATTATTTTTCGATTTTACATTCAATGGCTTCTTACCGTAAAGTACGACTAAGGTCCCCAAAAGTGGATTGGACTATACAACAAACTCTCTCTTAAGAAGAGTATGATATAATCAACAAAAAATGTTAAACAAAAAAATATGATCAGTTTTACTCTTGACGAGAATCACGCTGATTCAGTGTCTAAGGATTGTCAATGGAAGTTCGCTAATTGGCATATACATATAATTAATGATATTATTTAATAATGTTACACAAGATATATATTTATTAATAGATGCAAGATATGTCCTGAGGTTCGTGATGATACGATACGTAAAATGCAGGAGTATCCGGAGATAATAAATGGAGCTAAGGTAATTAAAGGTCGCTGAGTAGACTTGGATAATGGCTGGATAATTGGAGGCACACATTAGCGGGTCAATAGTTATTCCATCAGACCTCCTTCCTCAGGTAGAGTATACTGGAAACGGAACTAAGAATAGGCGCAAATAGCATCATTGTATCTCGCTCTCGTCGGCGAATGCTACGCAATCAGGTTGATTGCTAGTCCCTGGTACTCACGATGTCACGACCTACAGCCTGAGATATTGCATACTAGGTGGGCACGTCCGAAATATTGCCTCACATAGTACATGAATCCAGGTCTGTGAGACATTTTTTTTGTTTTATTGTCATTTGAATAATCTTCTCACAGGAGCGTTGGTTACAACCATCTGATTGAGACTCCTTATGTTACTTTTACGAGTGAGAGCCATGAAGTAAAATGAAAATAATGAGAGTCAATTAAAACCCAAGTATCATTCTCCATGATCATATATATCTACATTATATCAATTCAACTCTTCTTCATCAATATTCAAAATGGTATATTAATAAATTATCATTGTTATTTATCCATATAAAGATTCTTATCAGCACCTTCAATATTAAAACGAAATCCAAAAAGATGACAGATAACAGAAATCTGATGATTTTACTTCATTCTAAAGATTACTTCCGAAACAATAGAATTATCCTGAGTCTAATTTGACTTCTACATTTTCTATATGTATTCCGCTCATATGTTTTTTTATTATTCCATTAGATATTTGTGTTTCTAGATATATCTATACCATACTAGAATAAGTTTCTTATATATATCTTTCCTCATTATTTATATATAAGTTGGAAAGAATGCGAGCAAATATTAAATATGACTAATCCGACTTCACATAAGTTTTGTATTTAGCTTCAGCAGTATTTTTGTAAGCTTTCACTCGTGGTTATATTAATATAACTATACTTGAGATAAATATATACATCACTAATAACAGAAAACAATTGGTATTTGTTATGATTAGAGTTTCACTGTATATCAAGTGTTTCATTGATGTCTAACTCTTCTTATTTTTTCAATTATGTCAAAATCTAAAAACTTATTCCTCTACTTCTATATCGACTATTGACTAAATCTGCCATATCTATAGCTTGATGATATTTTTAAGATGTGAATACAGGTATACCAGCAGATATGACAGAAATGTATATTTAATTATGAGATTTAAGGAAATAGGTTTAAAAGTTGAATTTGAACTAATTAGAAATGAAATTAGGTACTCAATGAATTAATTAAATCAGACAAATATGTAAATTGAGATAGTACATGATGATGAGTTTTGAAATGGTACATGAGTAATGGATGGTAATAGGGTATGGACATGTAGATAATAGTAGTACAGGGTTGGTATGGTATATGGTATGATGGATTGGATAGAATGGATGGATGGATTAGGACGGCAATGTGAATGTAAGAATGAATATAGGAATAGATTGGATTACATAGAAAGATGAGGAAGACATTATTATTAATATACGTATAATTAGATGGATTAATAATATAAATAATATGACAGTAGTAAGTGAGTATAACAACTACTGAAAAAACAATAGTCATATTTGAGATAAAAAATTAAATAAAAAAAGAGAAACAAACACAAAACAAATATCTAAAAAAATATCTAAATCTTTTGCGAAGGAAGTTTAGCACAAGTGGAGAAAGATTAGCAAAAAAAAAATTAAAAAAATTTTAAAAAAAAACAAAAAAAAAGGGAATACTAAAATAAGAGAGATTGTTTATGATAAAAAAAAGGAAGCACGCAATATTTCTTTATAAAGAAATGAAAACATAAGAGAAGACCTACCATTCATAACTTGTTATGAACATGAGATAATGAAGTTAAATTACAATGTCAATCAACGAAGATTAGATTTATTTTTGTTTTCAAAGTAATCTATGATGATTAATAATTCAGATAAAGACATAAGAAAGTAGATTTTATTCTTTTTCTACCTTCTAAAAGATGGCCCTAGTAAAATTAATTACTACAAGTCTATGGTAATATCTATAAAAATATATATTATACTATTACACGTAACTTTAAACTCACCATAATGAAATTATCTTTCTAAGATCAACTATAATTAGTACTAATTTTAACTGTGTGAACGGAAGAGGAGTGAAGGAAGAAGAGGAAGGATGAGGAGGTAGGTATAAAGTATAATATAATATCTATAGAGTGATAAGGAGGTATAAGAAAAATTCATTATTAGATGAAAAAAGCAAACGATTCGTTACACCATTAACAACAAATTATAAAAATAGTAATACAGAGAAGCAAAAAATGACAGTAAAGTGGTGAGATAGACCTGTTGTCAATTATACCTATCCGGTAGAATGAGTTAGGGAATTATGGTTTTAAAACTTTCTTTAAGCTCGAGAGATTTAATTATGGGTTTTATCAAAGGGTTACATGCAATGGAGGGTATTTATATGTTCCCTTCTTATCCATATACATTATATGATATGATACTGTTGTGGATAGTCGATGAGTAGGTAGTGGGACTAGTGTAGTACCGTGGTATCTTAATTCTTTTATGTTCGTAAAATGGATATTACACTAAGTGAGTTAGGATGGAGGAAGGGGAAGGGACTTTATAGTTCTATTGTTAAATTATAGTGCAATAATGGAGACATAAGATTGTTACATGGTAATAGTAGATGACTTTATTAGAGTATTATGTCCCATATTATAATTAAGTTTTTTTCTAAATCTTATGATGTTAGTCGTTTATGATTAGTAAAATACTAATTAGTCCTATTTATTCTTTATCACTATTATGCTTTTTTAACACAAATTAACACTGTTTAGGAAGTCTTAGCGATTTTATTATTGGCTTTTGCCTATCTGACTCTATCCAAATCAATAGACTAATGTATTTATTTGTGTTAGTAAATTGTAGGCACTGTTGACACCATAGAAAGTTACCCTACTTGAGAATTTCACAATTACCAGTTCACGATGGACATTGATTTCCAAAAGAATTATAAAAAAAATAAATACTTATTTCTCCTAGTAATAGTAATAACAACTAGAAAGAATGAGGAATCTAAAATTACCTAACTATGTAGGTTACAAAATATAAGATTTGAAAAAGATTCAATTAGGGGGTGAAGGTGAGAATATAAGTACATACCAGTCATTAAGAAAGTAATTAGATTAGAGATAAGGAATAATATAGAGTGTGGATGGAAAAAGTTGGGAAAATTATGAAGAATACAACAGAAAAATTGTCACATATGGGAAAAAATAAGACTACAAAAGGGTAAGATGCAAGCTGGCCAAAGATCACAAATGATAGGAAGTAAAAGGGAAAAGAAAGTTGGAATTAGGTGGTGCAGGTTAGAAAGATCTTCTATTATTTATGGTAGTCATGCTATCTGCAGTTAGTGCTATATATGAGAGTAGGAGTAACAGGTCGAGACTGTACTGGAGATATTACTTGTGTGTTAGAGTAGGGATATGATGGGAGGTATGGGGAGAGGGAGAGGTTGTGTAAGATAGGGAGAGGGAAGATAGGGGACTATAATGGCGTAGATAGATTGATATATAGATATTTTAACATCAGTTTTTATATTTATAAGAATAGGAAAATGGCTCGAGGGTAATCAAGATCACGTGTAGAGGGAGTAGGAGGACCTATGGATGTGAAATCGAGACGCGCAAGAGTGTATGTGTGGATAGGCATGAGGAAGGATGAGAGAGAGAAGAGGAAGACCGCATGCAGCAGAGGCATGC